ATTTGTTGATGAAAGCCAAACGTGTTGTCACACAATCTATGACACTTCAAATCAATAGACTTGCATATATATTTCGGATTTGCAATAGTGCATGTAAGTTACCAGGCGATTGGATCTAGAGAGGTCGTAATGCCACAGCCGAAACCCTAAAAGTGATTTTAATCAGACGTTTTTCTATTGCAATTGATTTCCCTGCTACGCGCTGGGCTTGTTCTCTTTTTCTCTTTTTTTTTTTTTTTTTTTTTTTTTTTTTTTCTTTTTTTTTTTTTTTTTTTTTTATTTTTGCAATTTTTCAATTGAGTTTAATCAGTGACGTAGCCACTGATGTTGCCCATGATTTAGTTCGAGAGGGATTCTCGTGTGCGCCCTACAAAATGGTTGGGGCAAACTAACAAACAGATTATAGTATAGATAAAAATTATTTGAGAAATAGACATACATATGTGGAATAGAGGAATGTACTTTTTGAAAAGTTCTAAAATAGCTAAAGTTCGGAGTGGGCCTTATTTCTGATTGGGGTCTTTTTTTAAAGGAACCATCTTCTAGTATTGCTTCTAAATCACATCCTTAGCTGCTCTAATTTGGAATTTTGTAATATGAGCAATATTTCTCTTATTTAACTTTGCTGTGCTATACACTGAATTTCGACTTACCAGAGATCTCTTAAAGTATTATATGTTTAATAATACAAATATTTTCGATTTCCCTATCCGCTTTCGCTTTTAAAATTAATTGTCAGCTATGGCATTTTCTGTAGATTATTCTTGCAATGTCAAGAGCTATTGCAATTCATGGCGCATGTTCTATGGCTCTGTGTGTCATTGACATTGGATACTAATGATTAGATGCGCAAGGCAATTAATGATCTAAACGAGCTATGGAAGCAGATATAATAATTTCCGCATATCAACTAAATAGGAATCTAAAATCTAAAAATAGATAATTTAAACTAAATATTAATCCAGCTTAAAGCTATATTCGGCATTATTATATAAGACCGGAATGTTGACTATTGAAGTGTTTACCATTTAACAATAATATGAATATGTTGAGTACACAGAAAACTAATATACCCTACTATAATTTAGTAAATTTTAATTTACATGTAGAACAACCCCTCAATTGACACATAATTAATGGCGTTTTAATTGTAGCAACTAAAAGGTAAACTCAGAGAATCAGTGAGACAGAGAGTGAGAGAGAGAGAGAGAAAGGCAGAACAAGTAATTTATTGAGATGAGAATCGTATGCATCATAATTTTATTGGCAACCACCTGCTGCTTGCCACCCACCCACGCGTGCAATCGTGTGCCACAGGGAGCCACCGCAGCGAAGTCGCCCGTGGATGAGAATTTCGTTGTGTCCGTGGCGGGCCATGCACAGAGCTATGTGCCCGGCCAGAAGTACAATGGTGAGTGGAGCAATTCCAAATCGAACTGCAGGCAGCTTCAGTTTGTTCACCTCTTCCGCAGTTACGCTGAGTGCCTATTCGGGTCTATCGTTTGTGAGTTTTATGCTCGCCCTGGAGCTCGAGTCGGGCGCTACGGAGAGCGATCCGAATGCAATGGGCGCCTTCGAGCTGATCGACTTGTCGGAGACACGCTTCAGTCCACGCTGTCCCAACGTCGTGGAGAACACAAATACGAATCTGAAAACCCACGTGGACGTCGTTTGGGCAGCTCCGACCATGGCGGGTCAGGGCTGTGTGCTGATACGTGCGACAGTGATGCAGCACCGCGATGTTTGGTTCATGGACGATGGCCTGCTGACCAAGCGCATGTGCGAGGAGGAAGTGGACGACATCAATACACAGCCCAGCATTGTGGATCCATGTTGTGCCTGCGATGAGGCCAAATATGAGGTGAGCAGGAGTCCGGAACGATTCCTCCAAAAGTTAGCAGCTCTTACATATGCCCATCTTTCCCAGCTAACCTTCGAGGGCAAATGGTCGCGGCACACCCATCCCAAGGACTTTCCGGCCAACAGCTGGCGCACGAGGTTCAGCGACATCATCGGCGCCTCGCACACCATCGACTATCGCTTCTGGCAATACGGCGAGCTGGCTAGCGAGGGCTTGCGCGAGGTAGCCGAGCACGGCTCGACGCGCACACTGGAAAGCGAGCTGAAGGATCAGAGCGAGCACATTCGAACGATTATCAAGGCACGCGGCATTGCCTATCCAAATGTGACGGGCAAAACATTTGCAGTCTTTCGCGTCGACTCCAATCATCATTTGATCTCGCTGGTCTCCATGGTGGATCCATCGCCCGATTGGATAGTGGGCGTGTCTGGGCTAGAGCTATGCTTGCCCAATTGCTCGTGGGTGGAGAACAAGGTGCACAATCTATATCCCTGGGATGCGGGCACCGACAGCGGTCCCTCCTACATGGTCAGTCTATCTATCTATATATCTAGTATTTATATGTAATATGATATCATGTTATCTACTTTCATAGTCTGCCGATCAGCCACAAGTGCCACCCGACGTTGTGCGTCGCATCAAGTCCAACTTTCCCAATGATCCACGCTCTCCCTTCTATGATCCCACAGGCGCGGAAATGAAGCCCTTGGCTACTTTGCACATAAACAGACGTCGTCTCTATGAAAAGAATTGTGAAACACCTGACGGTAAGCTCCGATTTAATCTGCAATAAGATCTCTCAATAGATCTCTCCATCTTCCTTTCCCTTTCCCAGCGGAGCAGTTGCCTATGGAATGCGGCACAACCGCCTGGTCACGTTGGGATGAGTGCAGCACCAAATGTGGTCCTGGCAAACAGTACAGAACCCGCGAGTTTAGGAATCCAACACTAGCCATGGTAAGGAGCAACTTCGACTGTGAATAAGCCAATCTCTATCTAAAATTCTCAAACACCAGCGTCACAGATGCAACAATGCATTGCGTGAGGAGAAGAACTGCATGGGCCGCAAGTGCGCCACATTCAACGAGGAGGCCTCGGAGGGCGCGCAGCCGGAGGCAGAGCAACCCAACATGGATCCCGAGTGTGGATTATCCGAGTGGAGCGAGTGGTCCTCGTGCACCGTGACCTGCGGCATAGGTGAGCTGGTGCGCACCCGCCACTACCTGAACAGGCGGGCCAAGAAGAAGTGCCAGAAGGCCAGCAAGGCGCGCTTGCAAGAGACCAGAGTCTGTGAGGCCATCGACTGTGGCGGCGACATAGGCAACGAGGCGGCCGGCGAGGGCGAGCCGGAGGGGGGTCAGGCGGAAGGCGCTGGAGAGGATGGCAATGCGGGCTCAGCGGAGAAGCGTTCGCTATTTCGCAACTTCCAGAGCTTCAATCAGCGCAGCGAGGACTATATACCGCCAGTGTGTGGCGTCTCGCCCTGGTCGGACTTCTCGCCCTGCCTGGGACCCTGTGGTGGCACCGGCCAGCGACGTCGCATGCGCAAGGTGTGGAACAACAATGAAGTCTACGGCGTGCACGATCCCTCAGATGACGGCACCGATCCCTGTCGCCACATCAAACTCATCGAAGTGGTCAACTGCACGAATCCCAGCTGCGATACGATTGTGCCCACCTATTGCTACGATTCGCTGCGCGTGAGCCACTGTCGCGACAGCGACGTGGCCAACTTCTGGTACTACGATCACGTGAGTGATCAGTGCGCCATTTACTGGTCGGATCGCTGCGACACGAATCAGAACAAGTTCAAGTCGAAGGAGGAGTGCGAAGAGACCTGTCGCCTGCCCCGCCATAAGCAGGAGCTGCAGATCGAGCGCCTCAGCTCGGAGAAGCCGCAGCCCGTCGATTGCATGGTCTCCGAGTGGATTGCCCACAGCTGCAATGCCAGCTGCGGCGACGGCGTACAGCTGCGCACACGTCGCGTCTTGCGCACACCCAAATACGGCGGCAAACCTTGCCCCAAGCACCTGGTGCGCATGGACCGCTGCTATCAGCGCTGCGACGACATGTATTCGGTGAGCGGCGCCTATGGCGAACGACGCCACATGCCCGCCAAGCTGCAGCCCCAGCTGGAGCCGCGCGATGAGTGCCGCTACTCCGAGTGGTCCGCCTGGACGCCCTGCACGGCCAGCTGCGGCGATAACTCTGTCCGGCAGCGTACTCGCACCCTCCTCAACACGGACCTGAGCTACAAGTGCAAGGACAGGGTGCGCATCGAGAAGTGCGTCATGATGCCGTGCCTGCTCGACAGCAACGACGACAGCGACAAGTGGTGAACGCGATTCCCACTGAATCAGCATGCCCGCTGAATACTCTACATACATCTGTATATCATATTAAACTGGCTACAAGTATTAGCAGATCCCATGTCGATCGAGGCAATGGCTAACAATTATTTATCGTATTAATAACATATTAATAAATAACATATTAATAACTAAATTATATTGATATAGGGGAATATTTCATTCTACATTCCTGCATGAGGCAAACATATAGGTAGGCTGAATTAAAAAAGAACTTCTCTAATTTAAGCAGCAGAATTTCCTTATTTCAAATAAATAAAACAAAAACCCAGAATAAGCCCAAATAGGGCAATATTTTCCACAGTTTTACAGCTTCGATCAAGTCAAAAAGTGTTCCAACAGTTTCTTTAACAAACAGTTGAACTACTTTCCATTATATTTATTAGTTTTACGGCACGTTTTCGATCTCATATGATTTTCGCCATATGTTTGGGCGCTTGCTGTTCATCATTGACCTACATAAATTGCTGCTGGATAGCTAGGCTATAAAATATTTAGCTCGAGTTCTCGCAAAAGTTCAAAGAACCTACGCAAAATAAATTAATTGGCGCCCAAGCGATGCAAAAGCCACACAGAAATTGTTGACGGCTTATTGAGGAACTCAACTCGAAATACAAATATTTCGAACGACCCAGGCGAACCAATTAAGATGGGCTTGAAGCGTCGCGACGCAGTCTGAGATATATGTATAATTGAAGCGTTACGTCAACTAAACGAAAAGCGAAACCCAAACCAATTCGGACAGTTATCATTGAGCCGTCACAGCGATTAGAAGTGCTGGGAAATGTGTCGAAGAGTTCTCTTATTATTAATGCTGAGTCTCAGTTGGCTCAGGCTCATTGCAGGCGGCTGTAATCGGATACCGCAAGGCGCATCGGGAGAGCGTTCGGCAGTCGATGATAATTTCAAAATATTAATCGATGGCAATCCGACGACCTATATACCCGATCATCAATACAATGGTGAGTGGGAAGAGTGAGTGGACGAACAGTGGCTAGAGCTGGAGAGAGATGGGGAGCTGTTCTATATGAATAACATATTCTGCTTCTCAGTATCCCTCTCCTGCCCGACCAGCCTGAAGTTCATTAGCTTTACGTTGATTGTGGAAAGCGAGGATCCGTCGATGGCCTACAGCGGACCGGACATGGCCGGACACTTTGAGCTGTCCGACACGGCAGAGACTCGCTTCAGCACTGGCTGCGAGAACATGATCGAGAGCACCAATACGAATGCCAAGACGCGCATCGATGTCTCCTGGATATCGCCAAAGCAACCGGACAGTGGCTGTGTTCTGATCAGGGCGGGCGTGGTGCAGCATCGTGACGTGTGGTTCATCGACGATGGCTTCCTGACCAAGCGCATCTGTCCAGAGGAAATCGATGAGCTGAACAGCCTAACGCCATCGCTGCAGAGCTGCTGTGCCTGCGACGAGGCCAAGTATGAGGTATGAGTATTTCAGCTCGAGAACTGAGCAGAGCTCATCTCTTATATATTTATCAACTGCTCTATAGATCATATTGGAGCGCAAGTGGGCCAGGAATACGCATGCCAAGCATTTTCCAGCCGAGGCTTGGCGCACACGTCTGGGCGAAATCATAGGCGCCTCGCACACCTACAGCTACCGTTATTGGGCGTATGGGGGGCGGGCCAGCCAGGGCATGCGCGAAATGGCAGAGCACGGATCCACGCGTACATTGGAGCAGGAAATCAGGGATAATACACAGGTGGCCGAGTTTTGACTGGACAGTGACTCTCCTAAGCCCATTCGCTCTAACTTTGCTGCTCTACTCCTTTTCTAGAATGGCGAAGTGCGCACCATAATCAAGGCGCCTGGGATCGGTTACAAAAAGAACATCTTTGGCACCACCTTGGCGAATGCGCGCGTCGATCCACAGCATCATCAAATCTCGTTGGCAGCCAAAATCGATCCATCTCCAGACTGGATAGTGGGCGTGGCGGGCTTAGAACTGTGCTTGAGCAATTGCACTTGGCTGGAGCGCAAGGTGCTCAATTTATATCCCTGGGATATAGGCACCGACTCGGGTCCCTCGTATATGGTGAGAGCAGATCAAGTTCTTTTGACTTTAAGCTAAACTGATTTCCTTCAACAGTCACCCGATCAGCCCCAAGTGCCGCCGGATGTTATACGCCGCATTACTTCATCGTTTCCGAGCGATTACCGTTCGCCGTTCTTTGATGATTCAGGTGCTCCAATGAAACCGCTGGCCACGCTTTATGTGACCCGAAAGAAGCTATACATACGCGAGTGTGAGGAGGGTGAGGCTGGACAGATAATTATAACTAAAAACTATCATAACTCATCCACCCTGATCTTCCAGTACCTCAAGACGGTCCTTTGGAGTGCGCAACTCATCCGTGGAACGAGTGGAGCAACTGCAGCACGCGCTGTGGACCTGGCTACTCGCAGCGCTATCGCAGCTACAAGAATCCTGCACTTGCAGCCAGCTACAATTGCGACAATCGCATGGAGGAGGTGCGTCAGTGCCAGGGCACGAGATGCGGCGCGGACGATGAAGGAATGGGAAATGGTGAATTTAATGAGGATGGCAATGGTCCGGCGACCATGGCCGAGTGTGAGATGAGCCAGTGGAGCGAATGGTCGCCATGCTCAAAGACCTGTGGGCGTGGCATATCGACACGCAGACGCGACTATCACAATCCCCAAGCGAAGCCGCGTTGCCAGTCAGTGGTGCGACTGCCTCTCGAGGAGACAAGGCCGTGCTCGGGCATCGATTGCGGTGGCTCCATAACCGACAATGGTGACATCGATGGGCTACAGCCGGACTCTGATCCTTTTGGAGAAACCAATGAAGCGGGCTTCGATACTAATAGACCCGTCTGGGGCACGAATAACAACTACAACAACAACAGAAGGCCAAGCTTGGACAAAAACAATCAAGGCTGGAGTGGAAACACTTTGACGAAGCCCAACTACCCAGAGCAAGGCAAGAGCAACCGACGACTGCCCTACGAATTGGAGCGACCCACAGTGAATAGCTATTATAATGAGCAGAGGAGCAATAGCTACAACGACTACAGGCAGAATAACCGAGAGGAGGGCATCAATGACTACAAACAAGATAACCGAGAGGAGAGTTACAGCGACTACAAACAGGATAGTCGAGGCAATAGCTTCGACAGCAAATACGAATCAGGCGCCAGCGTCAACGACTACAGTAATACCCTATACAGAGGCGGCTTGACCACCCGTGCTCCATTTACTCCACACTATTCAGGCTATGGCCTGGGCCAGCAGGAGACGGTCGGCAGCAATTACAACGTGATCCAGGACTACTGCTACGAGAAGCCCTTCGCCTCGACGGTCCCCTGCCTGGCCAATCCGGTCATTGTGCGCAACTATTGGTTCTACGATCACGACGATCACCAGTGCAAAATCTTCACCACAGACAATTGCGACGAGAACAACAATCGCTTTCGCACTCTGATGGCCTGCGAGGGCACCTGTCTGCTGCCCCAAATCAACTCTGTTCGCACCGACGATCCCGAAGAGAGCCCGTTTGCAGGTGACAACGCCTATGGCGGCGATACGTTCCAGACCAGCGGCGGCGGCTTCAGAGGCGATGAAGGCTTTGGCCAGCCCATGGCACAGACAAGAAACAAATATAGCAATGCCAGACGTGGCAGATATGGCAGTTAATCATTTGAATTTAATAAAGATTATGCAAAAGCAAAAATTATTTAGACACGTTTTTGCCTTGGTTAAGAAGGGACGATATTCCAAATATCGTATATCCCTATAAAGGATATATATGTAATTAAATATAACTTGACAAGTTGAGCTCACATCTTTATTCTTAAGAAAAAAGTCTATATGCCTAGCCTTTCTTAGGCATTATTAATAGATCTATGTCTAATTTAACACGCTTGAAGAATAGATATATATAATTTTCCACATTTTTGTATTTTTTTAAAGTTGCCTCTAAACGAATTTGTTGGTTAAATAGTTCCATTTGAACAACATTAATATCTGCCACATGTTTCCTAATTCCAAATACTGTAAGCACTTCATATAGCCTTATAAAGCATATGTTCTCCATTTACACAATAATCTTCAGAAGTCTTTAAGCCATGGTTCTCTCTTTATTCTCCATCTGTTTTCTTTATAGTCTTTACTTACAATCTCTTTTCGTTAAGCGCTCAAGCATAGGCGGCTCTCTTGTATAATATAGTTTGTTTTTCCGGCTTTTGTGGGCAGTGTCTGCTGATAAGTGAATTTTTTTGTATTTGTATCAGTGGGTCAGAGAAATAAAGTTCTCTTGCCGGGCAGAGCTTATCATCGTCTCTCAGCGGTTGGCTTTTTGCGAACCCACAGCCAGAACCGAAAGAACTGTTTGACGCTCAGTTTCAAACAGTAGCTCAAGACGACAAGTCAGACATTTGAGAATTTTATTCGAGAACTTAATAGAATGTGGTATTTATTGGTGGTGTACGTGCTATTGCCGTACTCTAGCTGGGCATTGATCTGCACACGTCATCCGGCCAATACCCATACGCCCAAGTCTCCGGTGGATGAGAACTATGTGATAAGCATAACGGGCAATCCGGAAACCTATATACTCGGACAGGAGTACAACGGTGAGCGCGTGAGTTCATTGACCTTGCGCTTGAACTTCAAAAGTCTGTTTCCGATTGCTCATGAATCGTTTAAGTGCGTAAAAAAAAAAAAAAAAAAAAGTGCTTAAGAGTAATCGATGGGATGATACCCTGTTCTCAGCTTTCTTAACTACATTCAGATTAACTTAGTGGCAAATTCTAATCAGTATCTGTCTAGGAAATACACTTCCACAAGTTCATCCTACCCTTTACGTTGATTTATTTTTACTCAATGTCTAAGTGAACGAGACAAAGTTGAGAGTAATCCATTTGCTGATACTCTGTGGACAATTTTTACTCGTATTTACTAAGTGATTCAGAAATTCTAATCGCAATTTTCCGCTCTTTCATTATACTCCTGCCATTCTGTGTGTACAGGGTATATTAAAAAAAAAAAAAAGAAAACAAATACAAACGTTTCGCAATACTTGCGCTTTGTAAACAAAATAGAGGCATTCGCTTCAGTCTTATCAGGATATTGCGAATTTGAAAGGTCTCACGATTTTCAAGGTCGGCTTCCCCGATAGCTGCCGTCTATATACAACATATGATTTCTTATTTCATTGGCGTTATTTCTCTTTTTTTCGACAGTTTCGCTGAATGCATTCAATGGACATCGCTTTATTAGTTATATACTGGCGTTGGAGAATGAGAACGGCGACTTCAGCTATGTCAACGATCTGGGTCGCTTCGAGCTCAGCAATTTGATTGAGTCACGTTTCAATCCCAACTGCATTAACATGGTGGAGAACACAAATACCAATCCCAAGACCCATATACATTTGACGTGGATAGCGCCCAGTGAGCCGGGCAACGGTTGCATATTGATACGTGCAACGGTGTTGCAGCATCGCGACGTCTGGCACATGGACGATGGCGGACTGACGCGTCGCATATGCGAGGAGGTTGTCGATGATGTCGAAAGTCAGCCTACGGGCATTGCTCTAAACCACCCATGCTGTGCCTGCGACGAGGCGAGATATGAGGTGAGTAAATCGATTGAGTAAACCAAGTGCTACAGACTATATCAATAGAATGGGAAAAATCATGTCAGCTACAGGCTGTCATCTGGCAAGATATCATATGACTCCATCGAATTCCTTTTAATTTATAATTTGTCTAAAATCAAAGAACTTTCCTTTCTAGCTAACATTCGAAGGCGTCTGGTCACGTAATTTACATCCACGGTATTTTCCAGCTCGTGGTTGGGAGACACGCTTCTGTGAACTGGTAGGCGCCGCACATAGCTCTGACTATCGCTTTTGGGAGTCCGGTCAATTAGCTAGCGAAGGAATGAAGCAATATGCCGAGCACTGCACTTCCCGCCTGCTTGAGCGTGAATTTAGCATCAACTTTCGAGTGAGTGTGACGCATCCCTGAAAAGCTTTCAATTAACCAAGTCTTATTTGCAGGATCAAAAGATACGCACCATTATTAAAGCAAGGGGACCAGCCTTTCCCAATCTAAATAGCAAAACCATGGCATCGGTACGTGTAGATCCCGTGCATCATATGATATCATTTGCCTCCAAAATTGAGCCCTCACCAGATTGGATCGTGGGCGTAAGTGGGCTGGAATTATGCCTACGCAACTGCACGTGGTTGGAGTCAAGGATGATCAACTTGTATCCCTGGGATATAGGCACAGATGCGGGACCCACTTATACGGTAAATAAAAGAAGGCGTGGCACATCAATTGGAATTGATTTTGTTCCTTCTTCTTCCTCTTCCAGTCACCCGATCAGCCACAGGTGCCGCCAGATGTTATCAGACGCATACGGTCCGATTTTCCCAATGATCCGCGTTCACCGTTCTACGATGAGTCGGGAGCGCCGATGAAGCCTATGGCCATTCTAACAGTGAAACGCCAGCGCATCTACGAGCGACGCTGTGCAGATGAAGATTGTAAGCAGTTTTAGAATCTAAGCATACAAAAATAACTAAAATTCACATTACTTTAGCTAACAATGATCCGGATGTGCCGCGCGAATGTCTAACGCATCCGTGGTCCAGCTGGAGCGATTGCTCATCGAAATGCGGCGAGGGCATGCAGTACAGAAGACGAGTCTACAAGCAACCAGAGCTGGCCAGGATTTATAATTGCAACGTGCCGCAGTATGAGGAGCGCGCCTGCGACGGCCAGGTCTGCAACCTAAGCGGCAGCCCAATGCGGCCTATTGATGATCAGGATGAATTCAACATGGGTCTCGAGTATCAGCAGCAAGGAAATGCATATCAGAGACGCGCTGAATGCCAACTGTCTGGATGGAGTGGCTGGAGCCCATGCAGCGTCACCTGCGGAGAGGGCTATCAGTCGCGGCAACGACAATACTTGAATCCCAGCGCCGAGCTGAAATGCCAGAGCGTGCGACGGCTAGAGCTGCAGGAGACGCGGCCATGTGCGGGCAGAGCCTGTTTGGGTAACTTAAATGGAGCCGACATTGAAGCGCCGTATGACGAGAGAGAGCCACAGCCAGAGCTGGAACAAGAGCAGGAGAATGAGCAAGAGCCTTTTGGCAACAGTAATTTCAATAGGGATTACGATGTGGAGCAAACGGATGAGGGTCGTAGACTAGGTGGCTTTGATGTAGGCAACTTGAAGGGCAGCGAAGGAAGATTAAATTATGGGCAAGCGCCACGACTGGAGGATGTGGAGCGCTCGTCTTGGAACCGTAGACGACCCAGCGACAAATACAGAGAGAATGAACAGCGATCCCGTTATGGCAACAGAGATATGACTGACACACTGGTACCTGCAGAGCAAGAGGAAGATGATCAGCAGCAGCGCAAGTCCTGGAACAGAGTAAACAACAACAACTATAATAGAAACTTGAATCGAGAAAATGTCGAAGGCGAAGAAGATATGGATACGAACTTGGCAAAGCGCTGCTTTCAAATGCTGCGAACCAATCAGCCACGCTGCAGAAATCAAACAATCGTCGGTCACTTTTGGTTCTACAATTTCTGTGTGGACGAGTGCATGTTATTTGCGGCGGATCCCTGCGATCGAAATGTGAATAAGTTCAGCAGATGGGAGGAGTGTGAAGAGTGCCGTCGTTCCGAGTTTCAACAGCTGCAAGAGCAGCGGTCCATCTCACATGAATGCGAGCTGATTTTAGCCTCGCAGCGGGCGCAGCAAAGAAATCGTGAAGAACAGCTCAGCAGCTCCTCTAACGGCAGAAGGCGAAATAATGGCAATCGGCAATGGGGCTAAGTGTGAGATTGTAGTCTAGGATAATTTTAATTAGTTGAAAATATCAGAACTTTTTTCTTTAGTTTAATAAATATTAATTTTGAAACGTGGTTCCTAACTAATTTGAACTACCGTTATAATTGAAAATGAAAAGTCATCGCGCCAAATTCGATAACACTAGAATGTACTCGATACTTTCTCATATGTAGAAATTAAAATATTTTTAAATTATTCTAGATTGTACATTTAAATATTTATTTGCATACAAATAATTAAATTGGTACTCGTAATATATAATCAGAAATTAATTTCATGTTTACTGATGAAACGCAATAATGATTAACTTTGGCATGTAATGGCAACTCTGTCAGTATTGTACAGCAAAATTTCGGAATCAGAGTTTAAAGAGTTTAAATTAGAAAAAAATAGGAAAAATGCAGCAAAATCGTTTAAATGTTATACGTAGTCTATTGGCGCTTCGTTCGCTGTCACTCCAGATACCCAAATATTCAAGCACAATTGACGATTCTCCCAGGCCACAGCAATTAATATTTCATCGGTATCTTACACAAGCAATAACAACAAAAACAAAAACTGATGAACAAAAGGCAAATAAACTAAAGCAAAAGATAACGCTTATTGGACAGAATGAATCCATTAACATTACCACTCTCGAGGAGGCCCAAAAGTTGGCCAAACGTCGCGATTTGCATTTGCTGCGTTTGCAACAGCCGGATGCAAAAACCGGTCGCCTGGTGTTCAAGTAGGTGAAGTCGAGGTGGTCTATGCACTATTCTTAATACTTATTTTTTCAATGTAGATTAGTCACATCTGCTGAAATGTTAGCTGACGAGACACAGGGCAAGGGCACTACCAAATCTACGGAAAAGCAGGGCACCAAAAAATCGGGAAAGTCCTTAACCATTGGCGCTCGAATGGCCGAGCATGATTTGTCTTCCAGGTTAAAGAATATAATCAAATGGCTAAATAAACGGCACGAGGTGCGCATTCTCATCCAGGGAAATGTGAGTGGCGCCGATGAAGGCAATGTGGATCGCATTGTCAAGGCCATTGAGACGACCATCAAGGAGCCGCAAGTGATTGGCAAAATCGTGCAAAAGCGCCAAAAAGAAAACTACGTCAAATTCAACATAATCCCAGTGACACCTGCAGCGCAAACGGAAGAAGCTACTGTAAAGCAATTGTGACAACCAATGGGCCTATTTATGCCCATCCCAACAGCTCCAACAGATAAGCTCCTAATTGATTTGTCTCCGATATTCGGTAATCTAGATACAGTCCAGGCAAAGCAGAGCTACTCCACCTGTCGGAGCCAGGAACAAAACAAACCAGATGGCAATAAATCGATAGTAGCTGGCGTTGTCTCAATCGTATTCATGTTCGTCTTAAAATATGTCATTTGGATACGCGCATTGTCGAGCGACGATCAGTTCAGTGATGAGAGTATGAGCAGTATGGAAAGTAGGAGCACAGATATGGATTAAATTAATCATTTGCAACAAGTCTGATTACTTTAATTGTTAATAGACAATAGTTAATGACAGCGTCACATAATTTTGCTTTTTGATTTCTTATGCCATTTACTTAAGCAAATACATATATTTATATCCATCATCATTTCTGTTGGTATATTCTATATTTGATATATTATCTATAAACAAAGGGTTAGTGGGAAGTTTAAAAAGGGTTCCTCTACAAATTTGTAAATCAAACAAATTTCTCCGATAAACGCTTCTGGATTTACGATTGTTCCTATGATAAGGATGGCTGGATATTTGTCTTCCTCTGTTTTTATTAACTGTATGTTACATCATTTTGCAAAAATAAAACGCATTTTTATACATCTCTTTAAGTACGTTTTATTTACTTTATAAGCACTTAATAATATAGTGCTATTGATTTATTCATATACATGTAATATTTGATTTTATTTTATTAATTTTCGTTCTATTTATTTTTGAGGCTATATTTGTGTATTTGAATATGAAACATAATTAAATTTAAATAACATATAAACTATTGAAGTATAATTTCATATGAATATATATGTATATAAATGGAGTTTCGATTAAAGAGGACATTGCACATAAATAAGCTAATTATAAAATAACAAAAAATTATATAAAGCTTGCTGTTTTTTGGTTAATCAAAAATAAGTTAATTTATGTGTTGTGTATTTTTAGATATACAATGTTTTCAAGAAGTGAAAGACAGGCAGAGGTAAATCTGCAGCTTGAACAAATTCTAAATGGACTTCACGGAATATAATCAGGTATTGAGGCTGTATAACATATATGCATAAATAGAAACTAAGACAAAACAAATAAATTACTTAGACAAAGTTTTACAAATACGGCACAAGGAACTTTTGCTATTTAAAATTAAAAACGTTAAATAAAGATTTGTGAACAAAAGCTATTTGAAGAGCAGTTGAAAACTTGGAGTGATAAAACCTCACATTCCGCTGACAAACCGATAATCGGGTTAAGCTTATTATATTTTTTTAAAACATGGACATTTCGTAATTAGCAGATAATTTTTGGAATGAGTCACAAACTAAATAAATTAACTACAGTAAATGCAAAAGCGTGTTGTTTTTTGGATAAGCTGCGTTCTTGTTGCTTTCTTTTTCTTTTTTTTTTTTCTCATTGTAGTTGATGTTGTTGGTTCCACTTACTATTACAATAAGAGCTTTAGACGCGCTGTATTTCAAAGAGCTTGACCTCCGTATCATACCAAATAGCCGGCTCTACATTCCGCAAATAGATAACGCCCCAAATGTAGGTGCGAAACCAGGCCGTAGTTCCAGAATTCGCTTGATATTTTCGTATTAAGATGGGATGCGGCACAGGAAGCAGACCCACCAGGGTGCCATGCTGCAAGAACTTCAGTATTTCCGATTCGTCAGTGAGACCCTTGTCAATGCAAATCTTTTCCACCTGCGGCACTAGCACCTGCAGCAGGCGCATTATCGTTTGCAACGGTAACTTCGAGCGCCAAGAGACAATCCATTCGGGTGTGGGCGTCCAACGATCGTTGTCACCTGGCACCATGCGTATGCTGGCTCGATGTGCAACCGATAGACGAGTCTGATCCAGCGTAGGCGATGCGGACTTGGCGGGCGACAGGTCGTTAGCCTTATCATTGGGATGCGGATGCTCGCGTTCGGTCATTTGACCTATGTTTGGAGTATCCAGCAGCGATGTTTTCAGTGTGCCCGGCTCGGCGGGCTGTGCAACCGGTGCTGCGGAATCCAGCTGTGTGTCGCCTAGCTGTGAACGCTCATGCGATTCCGTTTCCGATTCGAGATCCTCTTCGGCAGTACCAGAAGCAGCAGCAGCCGCAGCTGCAGCTGCAGCAGCAGTCTTCTTGTTCGCTACAACATCTTCAACATCTTCGTCTTCCTCTTCATCCTCCTCGTCAATATAATCGTCTTCGGGTGCTTGTGCCGATGGTAGTTCCTGGCTAGTCGTAGTTGTGGCCGGCTTTCTCTGTGGCACGCGTGGTAAATTAAATTTGCCACCCGTTTTTCGCCCACTTAGACACTTGGCTATGCCTGCCATATCTGTCGGCAAATTGGCCATGGCATGAAAGACATGGCGTTTGCGTATGATCGTATAAACTAAATTCGAATTTCCATCAAATTGGTACTGTATAATGTTGTTGAAGATCTCCAACAAGAAGAAGACCAAGTGGTGATTGCTTGGCGCCGAGAGCAGAAACCAAGGCGTACTAAAGGCTTCCAGCAAATGCAATAGCTTTACGCTGGCCACCATCGACAGGGTTTTTAGATATGGCGAAACATTCACCAATATTGTCAACAAGCAATCAAACAGTGGCTGCAAACGCTGATGTCCTGTGGCTATAATCTTGTGAAACACTGTGATAAGCAGATCCGCATGGGTGCCAGTGAAGACCGGTATATCCATGGGCACCGTGGCCGAGTAGGCCTTGTTTAAGCGCACGCCAAAGTTACGTTCACCTAAGTAAAGCATTGTAGTGAGGTTTAATTCATTATTGTATTAATCAATAAAATCATTTAAGTCTTACCCGATAGCAGCAGCAGTATAAAGACGCCGATGTGCATGAGGCCAACGCGCGATTGATCCGCACGCGAATAATTCAAATGATATAGTATTGGTATGAGTATGTCAAGCACATCCGAGCTCTTTAGTACAAAGTACAAGAACTTTTTGTTATAGTCGCAGATCTTCCAAAACAGAATAAGTAGTTCCTGATGACAATGCAGGCGTTTTGTTGAATTGGGTAAATAGTTTTGGACGAGCGGATTGTTCAGTAGCCGCGTTATGCCACGCAGCACAAAATGGAAATCCTCATCGCGATGAACGCGTGATAAGTAATTGATAAACAGATTATCGCCACAGCCGCCCTCGTCGTATGGCGTGACCAGCACGCCTCCAGCATGAGCCAGTTGATGTTGCTGCTGTTGTTGTTGTTGCAACTGCTGGTGCTGTACGACCATGTCATGGTCGAGCGTAACTATAAGCAGTTGCAAACAGGCCTCTACCAACGGCTCGGTCGTGTCCGCGAATATCAAATGGTTGTAGGGCACACCAAAGCCAACCGGATCATAGGAGCAAACAGTGTTTAAGAAAGAGGTGAACAGAGGCAACGCATGTCTGTTGTCTGCGGAGGTGAAGTAGGCAATCCACTTGTTGGGCTCCTCTGATTGCTGAGGTGTACGATACATGGGCTCCGAGAAACAGGTGAGCAGCAACTTCAATAGCTCCGTCCGCCTGCGTTCCATGTGCGCATTACGTGGCGGAGATTGAGCAAATCCTACACCGGCCTCCCAGATGTATTCGCAGCTATCAATATTGGCCAACTCCTCGGCCTTCTCTGGGCCTGCGCGCCTCGTTGCCGTCACAGTGAAGTCTGGACAGAATAATAAATCACATATGGCATTGATAAGGGATTGGGCCAGGGGCACAGTTTGACCATGATTCGCCTGCTCTTGAGCGGGCAGATTGCTCCAAAAGAAATCACGCCACTTATCATCCTCGAAGATGTAAGGCAATATTCGTATGAGCAACCTTACGCAGTTCAGCACACATTGTTGCTCCGCCTGAGTGCGACAGCTGCTGTCGACAGCCTGGGCCAACTTTTCTACAGCCTTGTAGCAAAGTGTAGCTAAATTTGCAGGATTATCGTTTCTAATTTGACGTATTTCACTTGCTGTCACCAGTGCGAAGACATCCTCCAGCGTTGTTTGATGCGCTTGCCAGAATTGATCCCAGAACTGGTCATCGTTGTTGTCAATCTTTTGATTCTTCTGCGTCAGCTGAACAATTGCTTTGCGAAAGTTTAGCTTTGAGTCGGTGTTTCCCATATTGTGTGGTTGTTAATGTGTAAATACGCCTTTGTTGCAGCTACTCTGTTTGCTATTGCCTCAAACAAAGTGAAAACAATTGCAGTGTTGGAGTTTTACATAAATTTTGCTTCGTCTTCAATGAGAAAATTAAGAAATTCGCCTACGCACGACTAAGAAAATAGAGTAGCAAGTGTGTTGTTGTTGTTGGTTGCCAGCAGAGGTGTCATAGTGTATCGATTTGCTATCGAACTCCAACAAGTCTGGCAGCACTTGCTTCATAATCGCTGACACAGCCAAATAATTCTAGTTAGCTCGTAACGGAAAAAGTGAAATGTATATTAATTTTAATTTAATTACCTAAACGTTAGTAATTATTTATCTTGAGCTCGCTAAGTAACGATAGAAGCCTTTTAACATTGCCAATAGGGCACTAGCGGCACGATAACGAACAATCGTATAGGATAATCGTTAATTCATCAAGATGAGCAAAAAACAGCTGGCAACAAAAGTATCGATAATTTCCGCAACATTTATTGTTTTTCGCGCAAGCTAGTCCGGCAAATTGTTTAAATGTCGCTCAAATTGGTTTAAGTAATTCTAAAATAGAATGGGTTATGATGAACGCAGCGATGGCAGTAGCTCTAGCGATGCACAAGATTGTTTTCAGCGTAACATGTCAACGAAAATGGGTACACAACAGGTCACGATGCCTAAGCATATTCCCTTCCCGGAGCATGCAACCACATCAGAATGGCTGAGTGAGCTTATAATGTGCGCCTTTACCATGGGTGCAGCTATTGTACAATTCATAAACATTTACCGCACCAACTGGTGGTTGCCGCAATTCCAAGCACGCCACATGGTGGTAGGTAATAATTGGATGGGAATATAAATCCGACCTAACACTCCTATTTCATTTGCAGAACATTGAACTAATCGATCCGTATTTACGTTACCTTATTCTCATATTGAATACGAGACGATTTCTGTATTGTATGCTTTTGGCCAAATGGAAGAACAATGAGTGTCGCATAGTCCGCATGAGCATTAAATATGGCTTCGGTGGAGTCGTTCAGCTAGGTCTGTGCTATTGCGCTTTCAGGCTCTATCAGACACACACTTACATGTTGCTCTTCTATCTAAGTTATCCGTAAGTAATTAAGTAATTTATCCTTCTTCTACTATATATTTACTATTCTTTTAGTGTTATGGTATATCTCCTCATCTTTGGCTTTCAATTGGAACCGTTTCTACGCACTCGCTTCGAGGTACCTGGCGTTTATATTAACGATCTGCCCGTGCATAGCTGCACAACGAATGCCGCTCAAATACGCGACGAAATTGAAACGCTTCGTCACGATTTCAACAGACGCTTCAAGCAGTTGATCTTCACATGCATGCTGAATGCCTATCTAGTGCTCATACCCTGCCTTTTGTCATTGAGTGTACAGTACAATGTCATGCGTGCGGCACAGCACTGCATCATCGTTTGTCTGGGCGCCTTCAGCTTGTCAGCTGTCTTTCAATATCCGGCCAAGTACAGCGATACGCTGCATCGAGCCACTTTGCACTTGGGGAGCTGGCAGCGCATGGACCGCGATCCACAGGCAGCGCCTTCGCAACTAATTGTGGCAGCGAACGCACAGAACTGGTCAAAGTATACTGTCTACGGTCATGGTACAGTAGTAAAGCACAATGGGGCGCTCTATCGGAGTCACGGCCTGGTCACTGTTGCCACGCCCGGCAATGCCAGTCATCTCCGATTCTATGTAATTAAAATTTTTCTATATTTATTAGCCAGATACTTATATATCTTTCTCTCTATTCACAGAAACTGTTCCACAACCCCACTGTCATTTACTCCACATTAGCATCTCTGCAGGCGGCAGTGCTCCTAGTGGAGATTGCATCATTGAGCGCTGCCAGTATTGAATGGCATTTTGTACTGTCCATTAGCTTTGTAGCATTTACTAGCATGGTCGCCTTCTATAAGCTGGTACGAGATTATTTGATTACTAAACATTTGTATAAAGCAGAATGTTCCACCATTTACAATTAAGTTAGCTAAGAGCAGAATCATAGCTTTACCATAGCTATATCAATATGTAGATCTTTTATCTTAAGCCAATGATAAATGTAAAATAACAGATAATATAGACTACTGTTCAATAAATTCAACAGATAAACTATTCTAGCTATAAATCTTGTATACTTTTATGTAACAGGCAGAAAGAGTAATGAATTTCGGTTAACCAAATCTGTTATAATTTATATATCAATTAGAATACAGAGTACACCCTAAGGAAATATTTAATATTTTCCAGCGATCAATTACAAAATTTAACAAAAGAATTTAGACTCTTCTAGTAGCGGTCTTGTGCTCTCTGTAAACCCAGGAGCTACCCTGTTTGTGATCGCGCACATTGATGCCATGTTCCTGAAGAACATTTCGCAACCTATCAGACAGTTCAAGTAGTTCCAATTTCTTCACATTCGTCGATTCAGCTGCCTGCTCTCGCAGTTGACTTCGAATGGCTAGCAGATCAGCAACCAGCAAATTAACATCCACTTGAGCAGAGTTATTTGCTTGTTGCTGTTGACTCAATAGATTCGATGAGTCGGCTAGCGAGCTGATGCCGAGGTTAAGCATGGATGAGCCTATAAAATTTCCTGCTGCTAGCAGCAAATCAAGACAGTGGCCGGGCTCCTGCTCTGCATCTGCTGATTGGTGATTGATGCAGCGGCTGATGCTGCTCATCTGGTCCATTAAGACACTAATCGCACGTGATGTATCAAAGTCATCGCGCAGACTATTATCAAACTCCAATACCATATGATCTAGCTGTGACTGCAGTGCACCCCTGTCCAGGAGCTTAGGCGCCTTTTGGAATTGCATATACGCGTTCAGATCAGCATGGAAATTCGTGAATTTCTTTAATGTTTGACGCGCGGTCAACATTAATTGATCGCTGTAAGGCATGTCATTATTGTAATTGGAGAGGAGGCAGGCCATACGAAATTCATCCGCTGTATAGCTCTTTAGCATTTCATCTACGGTTATTGTATTTCCCAATGACTTGGACATCTTATGCTGATCACCCACCAAATGGAGTTGGCCAGTGTGCAGCCAATAGTTGACCCATTGATTTTTTTTGTAGTGTGCACAGCATTGAGCTTCCTCATTCTCATGATGGGGAAAACGCAAATCGAGGCCGCCCGCATGGAAATCCAATTCTTCACCGAAAAACATTCCAGCTATTGCGCTGCATTCTATATGCCATCCTGGACGCCCTTCACCACCCCATTTCGAGCTCCAGCTGGGTTCGTACTTCGTTTTTTTCGCTTTCCACAGTGCAAAATCTGCAGCACTTCGTTTCCCTTGCTCGTTCTCTTGGAGGGCCCGTTCCTCTTTGCTGATGTTTTGCAATTTGCCATAGTTCTGGCACTTACTCACATCAAAGTAAACAGATTTATCCTCGGCTACGTATGCCTGCTGATTTTCAAGCAGTTGTTCTATAAAGCGCTGGATCACAGGTATATTGGCCGATACATGCGCTCGCATGTTGGGAGGCTTTACATTCAACCGCAACATATTCTCCTTGAATTCCGCATCGTAAGTTCGAGCCAGCTCCTGCCAATTACGTCCCTGTTCCTTGCTGCGTGTGATAATCTTGTCATCCACATCGGTGATATTCATAGCTGTTATTAAATTATATTTAAAGTAATCTCGCAGTATGCGCTGTATTATGTCCACCTTTACATAGGTACTCGCGTGCCCCACATGCGTTTTATCATACACTGTTGGTCCACATGTGTACCAGGTAACCATACGTGGATTGCGCAGCACCAACGGCACTTTGCCACGGACTCTGTGATTGTAAATGTTGATGCCGGTGTACTCGCCGCATGGTCTTTGCCAACTGTTGGCAAATGCTTGTGTCGGCTTGGAAGAGCTGTTGCTGTTCATCGAACGACGAAATTGTTGCGAATTGACGGCTCTTTTGCATTCTTCTAAACGACAGCTACTACAAAGGGAATGTCAGCGGTATTCATAAATATAATAAATATGTGTTAAATGCACTTCCATACTTACAGTTTTAACATATTTCTAAGTGACTGACAATTAAAAATTTAAAATTTTGTCTAAAGTTTTTGTTTTGATTTTCAGCAACAGCTGATTCCCTATTGAAGCTATCGATATCGGTAAATATTTTGTTATAATATATTTTGTTATATGGCTGCTGTTGACGTATGAAAGTCCAAGATATCGATATCTGTCAGTTTGTAACCGCGAGTCGTCCCTGGTTTTCAAAAATTATTCTGGTAAAATGTTAATACAGCAATGAAGGAATGTATTAAAGGCCTAATTGATATTACTTGATTAACAAGAAGGCAAATAAAATATTGATATTTACAAGTTAGAAGGACATTAACTAGCCAAGATAGCGAGAATTTCTGTGCATATATGCTGTTTCTTATGAAGTCCGCAGCAACCAACCAACAATGTATACTCTCACTACACAGTTGTTGTACCCCATTAAATACCTCAAACTTTTAATTTCAGCAATTTTGTATATGTATTTTTTATTTTTATTTTTTGTATTAGATTGTGCATTTAAATTTCAGGTGAAATCTTTTAATTAAATCGTTTTAAAATGTAAATATGTTTAAAATGTAAACCTGTTGTTTTTAAACATATTTAGGAAAGCTTCCTTAGTTCTTTTTTTTTTTTTTTTTTTTTTTTTTTTTTTTTTTTTTTGGCAATTTTGTTTTACATTTTTGTATATACTAAATCAATATACTTAAGTAAAGTGTGAAAATCATGCGCAACCGACTGCATAATACTCGTTCATGGACCCAAAATTATGTTTTCTGATTTGACACTTCTTAATGGGCTGACCATGCAATCAAAATGCCTAGGTGTAGAAGCACTCAACCAAGATCTCAAGAGTCGCAATAACTGAAATGAAAACAATGATTTTATAGCTATAAACTTCCAACTTGTATGTCTCGCGTGTGTTTATACGTGTACATATTTGGTAGTTTTGCTTACATACAGACAGATGGACGAACATGGCAGAAAACCAATCAACTCTCTTTTCCCTTTGAGAATGAGCGTGAAAAAGCATTGTTTGGCAAATGGCAGAAATCATACGCACCATGGTCAGACCGTTTGCCAAAAACTTCAGTCAATGCGTAAGCAAAAAATACGAGCATTGAGGTCAAGGATATTCATGCCTCAAGCAGGTGAGAAATCGGAAAAGAAAAGTAGCGTAGTATTTTTGGTAACTAAATTAAATGTGACTTAGGCATTCGCTGTGACCCAGCTGGCGGGATGGCTGGCTGGCTTGCTGACTGGTTGAAAAGGAGGTTAAGTTAAATTGCGGACAAATTAAAAGGGAGTTAGATTTGCGGCCTGGAATTCCCCTTTTGAATATTACGTATACATAACTATATTCGTATATGGAACACGCTTGTGCCGGTAATTGGATATTTCACAGATTTGGGCTTGGTCTATTGTTCACTTCTCGGCAATTGATATTAATTTATTGGCTGTGCTTTTTAAATCGGCATCGCGTGAAAACATTTGTGCGCCCAGAAATTAGCATGAATAAGCTATATTGCTTGTTGCTGTTGCTATTGCAGTTGCTGCTGCTTTTGCCGTTGCTGTTGCTTTTCCAGTTGCTTTGCTGTTGCTGCTTCTTGTGTTGGACTGCACCCAGTGCAAGGTGCAGCTCCGAATAATAGGAATTAGATTGAAAGCCTGCCCAGGCTGAGTTGGGCCATGCCAAAATATGATTCTGGGTTTGGTATCCTGCTGATTAAGGTCAGCAAAGCGATTACATTGACTCAGCCAAGGAAACCCAGCCCAACAAAACCTTTCCGCCCCTAATGAGTGACCAACAATTACAAAAACTATTTGGGAATTGCAATGGCCAAGCATAATTTATTGGAGAATCATCTGAGAAATATATTTAGAAATAGGCCTAAATTCAAGTACGATTCAAAAAGACCTCTAAAATATTTTGTTGAATTTCTAAAAAAAAAGCAAGTAAATTTTCTTTTCCTTTTAATTTTTAATAAATCATTTAAATAACAGATTTCAATTAGATATCAAATTTAAAAACGTATTTAATTTGTTTGTGAAAGAAAATATAAATTTAATTTTGTTAATTTTGTTTTCTTTTGTTTTGTTTTTTGTTTTTTGTTTTTTTTTTTTATTATTACTATTTCATATTTGGTTTTTTACTTTCTAAAGATTCCTGCTAGCTTAGCTTGAGAAATTTAGCGACCTTGGGCAGAAACCCAGAAGAGCTCTCTACGCTTAAGCCTCTGCACAATGCCGGCTTTCTCTAAAGAGGCACGCAGTTGCAATTGAAAAGCCGAAAAAAAGGAAAATCAAAACAACAACAAAACACTAAATTCAAATCTATAGCCATAGAATGTCAGTCTAACAACAACAAACACAACAAACAGTGGCAAGTTTTCATGTCCAAGGCGTATTTATGTCAACCGGAAGTAGGTTTACTGACCCACGTATACGTTTCAATACGACGGACAGCCGAAGACTTCGTCCGTTAAAGCACACTTCGGCTGCCCAATAGAGGCGACTACTGCTGGACATATCTGAAACTGGCTGCCTTACCTTAGCTTAGCTGCTTGTCCAGGTGGCATACGAAGACGACGAACAACGACAACGACAACTCGTACTATAAGAAGGAATTTTCTTTCAACGTTTTAGTTTTCCAACGAACGGCAAGTGCATCGGATCGATGCGAAAAGCGCGTTGTGCTGACTCCTTAATTCGATTTAAATAATTGTATGTACACACACACACACACACACACACACACACAAACAAATTTAAGTGTTGCTTACAGAGTGTGGCACTTAAATGAAGTCAAACACAACTCCTTTTAAGTGTATACAATTTAGAGCGCAGCTCAACTAATTAAAGCTTGCATGAATATCAAATGTTTAATCAATGCCGGAGATAATAACACTACAAGTTAATTAAAAATGTGAAAAGAAAGGGTATCTAATTTCAAAATTACATCAATAGAGTATATTAGAAGCTGCTTGAAGCTTT